TTCGACGTTTCACAAGTAATCGGGTGGGAGGTTCTGTGCTGCGGATGCAGCAAGACCTGTGGAACTGTACCGAGATCAGTATTTCAAAAAACGTTATCTTTTTAAGGGCTCGAGCTGGAAAGCTTCAGCTCCAGCTGTCTGTATCACTACATGAAGTGTGTTAGAAATGTCCCTCCAATGTATTTGCAAAGGTTCTTCTAACAGCTTGTGTCACGGTGCAGCCTCAGTGCAGAGCACTTTCTTTTATAATAGCAGAGTACCCTCTAGTGGGAGAGATCAGGAATGGAAGTGAAAACGCCTCCAGCGAGTCTTCCATTAAAATAGTAACTCACGAGTGCTATTTTTTTTCTCTTTGGACTTTCAAATAGAATAGATTCTTTTGGTATCCAGCAACCCCATCCCAGGTATCACGAAATTACAACCACTGTATCCAAAGCGGATCCAAAGACATTCAGGAACAACGAAATTACTTCATGAGGGTTGTCCTGTGGCGGACACTGACTGTCATTGCTGGAAGAGAAGGTATCGAAAGGGACTGACGGAAGGAACTGGGCATTTGGTTTCAGTCCTGCCTTGCTCTCCTGGAGAAAAAGCTCTTGCAAAGGACCAGGGAAGGAAACGTGGGAATGTTCCCAAGTCTGTTCTCCAAGCTGCCAGGCTGGCCTGCGATGGATAAAAGAAGGTGTGCTTAGAGGAGAAGTGGGAATGGCAGGCATTTGGTAGTATCTGGGAAGGCATCTAGGCTGCCCAAATCCCTCTGACAAGTTCTGCCCAGGGTTGTCTCCTGAGAGAGCTGGATTTTCTGCAGCTGGGCTTCGTGGTCAACGGACCTTTAGAAAACAATCTCGGGCTTCTTGACCAAGGGACCTTTAGAAGTCAGTCTCGAGTGATGTTTTAACCAAGAGTTGCTCAGCATTTAAAGGGCAACTGTTCCCTGCATTCTGAAAATCATGTGCTGATTCAGCTTGCCTTGAAGTTTGTCATGCCACACGCCTCTATGTTACTGTGGGGGGCTTCAACTTGGCTTTCCTCAAATTTTCTCAGTTTTCTGAGATTAAATGGTCGTTAAAACATTAAATTATTTTTTTGCAGGGAAATTGTCTGTGTTTTTTTCCATGGTAGTCATGGACACGTATGCGATCTTCAATTGTGGCTATGATTGGAAGCCATCAGTATATGCGTATAAACACAACACGAGAAGAGGCGAGTAAGTTTAACTACTGTTTTTCAAAGATAACTTTTTCCCAGGAAATGGAAATTGTGAAGAGAAATGTGCGGGCTCAGTGCTGTGAGATAGCAACCAGTGGTACTCCATCTGAGTGGTTCAGAGCCTGCTGAAGGAGGGGAAGAGGAATCGCCTTACCTCCGTACATCTAGCAACGAGTACATGATTTATCCTCAGTGGAAAAATGCAGTTTTTCTAAGAGTAAAAGGTTAGCTTTGGCGATTGAGAAGGAAAAATGAAAATATGATGAAATGCACACCAAGGACTCAGAAAACAAATAGGCAGAAAAAGTCTTGATTTTTCCAGAACATCTCACTTGAGGGCTTTTTAAAAATAGTCCAGTACTGGATTTCTACAGGGCAGATGACCTCCTTTTCACTACTCTTCAGGCAGGAGTTTAGAAGTGCTCTTTCATTCTTCCTGATGAAATGGAATTAATTGTTTCTTTCAGTCCTAGTAATTGTGTTGTTTCCTTTCAGAAGGAAAAACATTACCAGTTTTAGACTCAAAACAGAACAAAAAGCTGAGACCAAGGCTGTCCCAAAGCCAGCCTCACTAACAAGACCCAGATAACATGCCCAAGCTTGCTTTCTTTTTAGTGCGCCTGTCCCAAGAGCTGAAGGAGGCTCTGTGAGATAGCAGAAATTAATATAAAAAATTGCAATGACTGTCTCATGTTTCTGTGCAGTTTGTGCTGCAGAAATTGGCAGGATCTCAAACTGTAAACCATTTAGCATTTGTTTGTTTTATGGAATTAAGTTTGAGAGAGAGAAAATATGTGGTTTGTCCATGGTCACGTGGTTGAATCACTAGCAAAATGACAGCTGGTAGCAGATCCTCTGGACCAGCCTGGACCTCCTAGTAGACCTATTTGAGCATTCATGACTTGAGGAAGCATTGCTTGAATATGAGGATTAAGGAGGATATACTAATTTATATGAGCAGAGCCAGAAGGGAGTTGAATCAGCAGCGCCTAACAGACCTGATGTAAGCCTCCGGCAGGCAACCTGCCCTGTAAAACTTAGTGGGTTTGGTTTTACTGGAATTTGTGTCACTGACTCCAGTCTTCCACTAATGCTTTTTTTTCTTTCCCTGTTAAATAATATCAACTTGCATCAGCTGTCTCATATTCTTTTCCTTAAACCTGTACAAGTTTCACTGGTTACTGGCTCAAATGGTTCTGCTTAAAAGAGGTCAGTAGGCCAGAAATCAAGGGAAGAACCAAGAAATGTACTAACAGCAGAGTGTGTCCACCCAGAAGGCAGAGGAAAGAATAAAGAACAGCCCTCATTTGGACAGAAGGGATTTCAGACTTCCACCAGCACGCAGGGTGTATTGCAGGTGAAGAAACAAAAGGAGAGGAACAAAGAACTCTCCGGATTTTAGGACAAGAGGTCACTACTTACTGTCTTTCTCACTAACTTCAAAGGCTTTGTCATGCCAGAGGGTCGGTGTCAGCTTGGCCACCACCAGCTCTGGAGAAGGTGACATACAAAGAACTTTGCAAAACTTGGCAGAGATTGCTGAGCCGAGCCAGGTCCTTGTAAAAAGAAATGGTTGCCATGAGAGCACAGAATAGGGCAGAAAGGGATTTTTGTGTCTTGTTCTTCTATGAATATAAAAAGATTCTGAATTTTCTGCCATTGCTGGTCTGCCTGGAGTACTTTCCATTTGCCTCTGTCTGCCCTGAGGTTACCTCTGGGCTTCATCTACTACTTCAGAACTATCCTTTCCTTGCTCAGCTCTAGTTTCCTCCCTCTCTTCCAAAGAAGCAGCCCTCTTACTTTCCAGACCCTTTCATAATTTTCTTCTTTCTTCTCTAAGTTTCCCTAGCCCATTGAAGGAGCAGTAAAAATTGCATAAACACAGAACTTTTCCACCTCAGTAGACGTGAGTTACAGGGTGAGGCTAATATAAAATATCGCTCAACTCCTCCAAATGTCCCCTATATTTTCATGAAATAAGCGCAGGAAGATGTCCCTGGGACTTCCCTGCTTTTGTCGCTTTGATGGCACAGGACAATTCTGTATAAATTTATTTTAAGCTGTGCTGTCTGCAGCTCTCCGGAGTTTCCTCTGAAATCCCCTCAACTATGGTGAAGGCAGGTGAGCACAGGAGACTTGCTAACACATTTTTCTCATAAAACAAAAAACGTGTGTGAAGGGTATAGGTATGTCAGCCTCAAACAACAACAAGTAGTAGGTTAGCTGCTGGAGACCTGACCTGCTTTAGAGGGAACCCATTCTCTACTCAGAACAAAAAGGGGAAGGACGGCATGACTCGAGACCTACTCATCAGTCCTAGGAGACAGAAGAAAATGTTGAAAAAAGGTAGTGGCGGAGCTTGGGCTTTGGTTTGTTAGTTGGCAGAGGAAGGGCTCCACTAAATCGAGCACGGTGGTGGAGAAGATGTCTCCAAGGACAGCTGTATCCAGCTGGAAGAGCCCCTGCCCTGACTCCCAGCCTCCAGCAACAGGTTAGACCCGCTCTGCTGGGGGCTGCGGCGGCTTTCTTTTTTCGCAGGTCAAAAGGCACTGCTTTGTGTACTGAGGTACTGAGAGCAGCGGAACAGGCACAGCTAACACACGGGTAAGCCTGGGATGACTCAGGAAAGGTGCAAACACCACCCTGTTCCTTAGCACAGTTTAATAGCTGTGCCCCAAATATTCCCACCCATCTGTGTCTTAAATAAGAAGGGGTTTCTGGTTTTATGTGGGCTCTTGGCCACTATGTGGGGTCTTTGTCAATTAATTTTGGCAGGGGCTTGAAATTGTGACAAGTCTGATATTTCTCCCATGAGGAATGATGTTTTAAAGCAGGAGACCTTCCAGGGCCTTGCAAGAGAAACATTACAATTGGTATGAAAGCAGTTGAAGAAACAGCAAACAGCAGACACCAAATGTCCTGTATTGATTGCAAAGGATGCTGT